GACTGTCATGTACTGTAGGAGGATGGGCGACTGCTTCAGGAATTAGAACAAATATTGGTTCAAAGTTTGAATGGTTTTAATGCATCTTGGTTTATTGGCTGATTGATGAATTGGTTAATCCAAGCCGTGGTATTGCACTTTCAAATGGATACTAAGCTATGAAAGAGTGTGTCCTTTTTTTCCACAGTCGTGTTAAAATAATATAATCTGCTTTTTAAGGATCAATGGGACAATAAACCACTGCGGTTTCTGGGTTTTCATTTTATAGTCTCCAGGTTTTATTAGCATAACATTTCTTTGAGTTATCGTGAAGAAACTCCTATTGCTTTCAAAATGCGTGCAACACAAAGAAGCATCGTCATTCCAACCCCAACACGCTCGCCACTCTGCCTCTGTTTGAATTCCAGCTCTGACACAATGGGCACGTTTACTTTGTTTTGTTAGTTGGTAACATCCAACACACAATCTGTTCATCTTCTCTCTCAGGACTCTTAGCTGTCTGGGTGTGCGTCTGTCTTGTGTGTCTGAATGAAAGTGTGTATACAGAGTCTGTCTGTACATCACACAACAGCTTACTCTTTCTGTCTGGCTTCAATAAAGCTGTGTCTGTCAGCACTGTTTCTGTATCTTTGTTACAGGTGGGGTGTGTGTGTGTGTGTGTGTGTGTGTGTGTGTGAGTGAGTGAGAGAGAGAGATCTAGGCTTCCTTTGGGGACTACATTTCAGGCCAAAGACCAGTTAATCGGGGGCGGCTTGTCCAATTGAGGAAAAAGGAGATTTTTGGGTCAGTGGTTGAGGTTAGGATAAATCTCCACGAAGTTAATGTAAGACTGTGTAATGTCCTCTAAAGTAACGTGTGTGAGAGTTTGGGGAGAGATTTGTGGTAATGGAGTAAGACATTTATAGGTAGTCGGGTGTTTTCAAGCATCCTGTCATTTCTGCACAATATATTACAACAAACAGATTGTGCATCTTTATAATCTGCTGCGTGTTAGGTATATTAGATAAGTGTATTAAAAGTATTCAGGATAAGAGAGTAAAGTCTTGTTGTTTTACCTAAAACATACTGTACTGGTACCCAGGAAGCCATTGTTCTACATTTTGCATTCAAACCTAACCTAACTATGCTGAACTTTCCATTTTCAGTTTTTCTGATCCATACTATACTCTTAAATATTGAGAAGTAATCCAAAAGTAATAATATTTTGCTAAACATTGGCTAATTACTTGATTTATGACTGTCCACAAATTACCATAATGCATTTGTTTTTAAAGTGACTATAGTGTCTAGTTGTTGAACATTTTATCTAATTTAAACCTGCAATAACAGATCTTTTTGGCCAGTTCAGATGAGCATAAACAAGCTTTGAACAACAGCCATTTTTAAGAGGGGGGGGGAGTACATTTTCAGTTTCTTAAATGTGACTATTTTCTGGTTTCTTTACTGTATGATAGGAAATTGAATATCTGATTGTGGACAAAACTGTACATTTTCAGAAGTTGTTTTGTGCTTTGAAAACCACCGATGGACATTTTCTGACATTTTATAAACCAAAAATAATGAATTGATTTAACCTTGAAAATAGTGATTAATCAACAATGAAAATTGTTGGTTGCAGCTCTAACCAAACCAAAGTTGATGTGGTGAACTTGTTAACAGTTGCTTATTTATACACTCAGCAGTTACAGAGCAACATTATTATTCATCTGGAGTTGTGTTTATGGCCACTTGATGAATGTAAGTGCAGTAATCAATCTTATATGGCTCTCTTTTTGGTACCTACCAACTGGATCCGGCACGTCGGCTGCAAAATTTTGTTTGGAAGAGTTTGCTAAATGTTCACCAGCTAGTCTCTGACTGTGGGTCTGTACTGTTTGATGCTGAGCAGGTAATGTACAGTGGTTTTATGTTGCTTTTTCACTAAAAAGCTGCCTGCTGCGGCCATAAACAACATTATTATAAAGATAAAGGTTATAGCTGCTTGTTGATAAAAATCTTCACACATTAAAGTCAGGGACATAACAGCCAGTCCAAAACATGTTTTCTTTTTTATTAGAGTGACGGTCAGACCGCAGTCCAGAGACATTCAGGTAATAGACAGTGACACACATCTCTGTACACAGCGTTTTTACACTGAAGAGATCAAACACCTTCAGAACCGGAAGAAACATGTTTAAATCAATGTTAACTTGTTTGTTGGTCGATGAGGGTTAAATTTTCATTATCATTATAGGGGAAGATATTGTAACATCCATGCAATGTATTTACTGAAAACCACATAACTGATGGCCCCAGCGTCACTACATATCACCTTTTATTTTCTCTAACAAAACGACATCATGATCACATAAACCTTTGATTTTGGTGCCGACGGCCCCTTTAGAGTAGTCAAAGTATTTCCAACAAAGAGTGCATTCTAGTTAATAAATAATTAATATTTTTTTTCAGTAGTACAGGATAAACCAGACCCTAGACAGCATCACACACAGGTTCCATTTACTTCAATAACGTACTGAATTTGACAATCAACCAATACCACGGTAGTGTACATGGGCTTAAGCACAAAACATAGAGAATGCTTGTATTATTATTTTTATCTACTACACTGACGGAAGAAGAGACCGAAGCACAGAGAACAATAATACAACCTGATCTGACAGCACCCCATAAGTACCTAATACCATCATCAATACCCCAGTCTGCCCTAACCACAGTTAACAGGTTACTAACAACCTAAGATTTAAAGAACTATACTGCTGGTTTTTCACATTTTAGCATACTTGTTCTTGGCATTTTCCAGAGCATGCCAGAAGATTTTTAATTTATTTCCTTCCATGGAGAATTACGACTTCATTTGAATTCAGTGTGTGAATGGCGGACTCCGCCACTAACTAATGAAAACTACTATTTGAGAGGTCGTTGCATAATGTCTAATTACTGTCTCAGCAAGCTGATATCATATTAGACTAAAACCAGTGGCTGTTTTAAAGATTAATAATCGATGCACACAACTTGCAGGTAATGGGCTACAACATGAAAAACCACAAAGTACAGTCCTTTTAAGTGCACCATTAGACGTAACGGTAACAACCCATACCACCGAGTACCTGAAACCCCCAGTAATATTCCAGCACCCATTTGGACCTTGTCCCACACCAAATCCTGAAAATACTCCTGTGTTAGCCATCAGCTTATAATATATATATAACTTGCTGACACAGTCTGAATAAAATGTTTGTTATAAAAAATCATGCTCACAGGTTAATCTTAAACTTGTTATTCTTTAAACTGACGGCTTTGAAATTATTTCAGTCCTTGCCTTAAGACTGCATTAAAAATAAGGGCTTACTTCTTTACAACTAAAGTCATCTGCATGGTTACATTGTGATCATTAACCTCATTAATAATGACTACTTCACTATCACCTGTTTTGTGTGATTAGGTTTCTGGGGTCACATTTAGATTTCTTTACCACAGTTTAACGTTACCTTCCTGTTACAGTCAGCACTGTGGGACCTGGATATTTGAGACATGTACACACACCGACAAGATCATGAGGTTAAGGTAACATCACTGAAGAAACAAGGCGTTGTTTGTATGCATGGTCTCAATTCTGACAATAAACTGTGACAAATATAACACAAGAAAGAATCCTGATAGCTGCATTGATGGTAGGCGAATCTCACTTTGCAAAACATCTTGGAGTCAACTTAAGAATGACATAGTATTCAATATATGATGATTTCTATACAACACTTTCATGCATTATTGTCATGATTAAACTCTGAGAGCCCCGGTTGTCCCGGTGCTGCAGTTCCTTCTCTGGTCTGGTTACACAGGATCAGTTAGAATAGTAGGCAAGGCTACAGGTCAGTTATATTTTTATATTTGGCTCTGTCCATCAACAAAAACAACAACTCTTAGTTTCAGATATCTTAACAGTGATAGTGACAATATATATAGCATAAATGTTATTTTTTATTTGGGGGAAACGATTAAATGGTGTAACAGACTTATTATTTCCTCCTCTGCATAAATACATGTTCAAGAAATGAACTTTTATGCTCCACAAAATTGAATTAACTCCACACATTCACACAAACAGACCCACTCATCGCTCATGCCTGCTAACACACGTGCACATGTACACTTGTTGCACGTGGACGCACTCACACAAACACACACACACACACCTAAACTACAGATTCACTGATAGCGAGTGTACGTGAACCACGACACAGACACTGCTACACACCATGGTTACTATCTACATCAGGGGCCCCCAGTGACCCACATCCATCCAACCCTGTCCCTGTCACCATGGCAACAAATTCCAACCACCACCCACCCCCTCAATGGCAGGATCGAAGGATCAATGAATTAGCCAGCTAGCGATCCTTGACATCCCACCTAAAGATTTTTCTTTTGCCTGAGACTGCACTGAATGCTCCAGCAACCCGACCTCCCACACTGAATGAACGCTCATCTGTTGCCTCCTGCTTTGTGGTTACATAAAACCCTATAGACATTAACAACATACTACTAACATGGTAATCAGAAGACAGCAATAAGAACACAGGGCAGTTTGGCAGCTTCTAAAACGTAAACATAAACAGACCTGACTTACCTAGAATCTCCCCGCTCGACCAATTTTACACACACTCACCACTCAACAAAGGACACTGTCTCAAGTGACACACTACACATACTACTCTCTGGCACCCAGGACAGATTATGAGACAATGGGCCCCTGGGCACAGACATGTGAAAGCCCCCACCTCCCCTTCCCCTACACCACTAGATAGAAGCATGAACCCCCATGGCTGAAAGAGACACAAAACGACTAAACAATGGCTGCATCATTTTGAATCTCTCTTTTGATGATTGTGATGGTTTTGTGTCTCCTTGTATCAATTTAGCATCTCTTTGTGGTCTGTTTGTGTTTCTTTGTAGTTGTTTTGTGTCTCATTGTAGCAATTTAGCATCACTTTGCGGTCTGTTCTCTCATTGTAGTCTTTTTGACTCTTTGTGGTTGTATTGCTTCTCTTTCTAGTTTTGCATCTCTTTGTAGTAATTTTGTGCCTATTTGTGGTTGCTTTTTGTCTCTTAGTCTTTTTGAATCTCTGTGCTTGTTTTGCTTCTCTAAGTTTTGTCTCCTTCTTGTTTTTGGTACCTTTTATGGGTTTTTTGTGTTTCTTTGTAGTCTTTTTGTATCTCTGTAGATGTAAATGTTAATGGTAACTTCAAACAGAGGCTGTGGCCCAGGGGCCACTTGGGCCCTCAGCCTGTGCCCAGTAGGCCCATTCTATATTCCCCCTTATCTGGTACAGACTGAAAAGTGATCTTAAATCTTCAATCAACCAATCAAGAACAATCAACCTGGAAAACTGACCCTTGTACATGTATGAACTACATTCACACAGTTAATGTGATAATGTACTCAAAGGAATATTTTGCATTGTGACACTGTTAATCTTTAAAAAGGGTTAAAATAATCATTCCACCACATAGAGGAAGACCATACAGTAAATACTCAAAGAGATGATATAAAGGATTCTTGACCAATACTAATTTTATTTAAATTGTTGTGTAGATGAAAAGTTATGTCATGATCTGTTGGATATACAGTAACTTCCATATCTTGCAAACTTCACCAGGATAGTTCAGATCGACACTTTAAATTTGGAAAAATGCCTGAGATTTGTTAGTACAATTCAAAGAGTAGTATGTAATTTGAGACAGTGCCTAAAATTGGTCTACTCTGACCGTAACTAGCCTACCTACAGTACAGTATATACCTACCTACATAAGAATGTGAGATATTGCACTTGGTCACAAAACATTGTTGTTGTATTTTTTTTTTTTTTTTACAGCATGTGGAAATCTACTAAATTAAGTCACTGTCTGAGAGATACAGTACAGTATGGCACTTAGTTGATATCTAAGTTTGGAAACATGCAGATTCAATACACATGATCACTTTTAACTGCAGCAGAGAGAGGGGGAGGAAAGACCAGACCATACTGTAGCTAAAAAAAATAAATAAAAAAAACATTCCCCGTACTGTTTGGCATGAAAGGGGATTTTGACACTTAAATGAATGAAGAGAATAATATGAAGGTGCTGTATGTGAGTGGATTCTGCACTATTTTTAGTCATCTAATACTGCTTTGTGGTGGAGTCACTCACTTGTTGATCTCTTCTTTTTCAAAATAATGTTTGAATACTGCACCGTGGCCTCCTCGTCTACATTTCCTCCTCTTGTTCTCTTTTTCTCTCATCTGCTCTGATCTGACAACACTGGATTTGCTAAAGCAGAAGATTGAGTTCAACATACAGGTGTGGAAAAGTGCGAGGTAAAGCTGGAATGTTAAGGAAGGAAAGGGAACGAGAGGAGGTGGCGAGGCCGTTTTTGAACAATTACTGAAAACTCAGCCCAGATCAACACATAAACAACAACAGGTGTAACATCACAGAAAGCAATTTTTATCACTTTCCTCTCATCCCTTCCTCCTCCACCATCAGGTCTACCTATCTAGTAAATGGGAACCTGGTACGTGGGTGCTGCGTTGTTCTCGGTGAATGGTGGGCTCTGGTAGGCCTCTGCGGTCTCAGTGGTGGCGCCTACAGGTGAATTGGAGGGGTATGGCTGGGTGGGCGCGCCGCCGTCCATGTGCTCCGTGGTGAACAGAGTCATGTCCGTGCCGAGCATATACTTCTGGACCGCACGCACTGTTAGACCAGCCTATAGGGGCAGCAGGGGGAAGGGGGGTGGGGATGAAGAGATCAGACAAAAACAAGTCGTTATCAAAGTAAGCTAGACTAAATCAAGACTCAGTTTTCACAACCAGATATTTGGCAGGATTTTAAAGCAGTTTCTTTTAGTCTATAGAAATAAAGTTACCTTGACTTGCCTTAAACGAATTGTCACTTTGGGAAATAACATTCTTGGGAGAGTTAGAAGAGAAAATTGATACCACACTCATGTCTGTGGATTAAATATTATACAGTCTATGGTTTCCACGCAACCAGCGGAGAGAAGAAGAAGTAATAGTTTGGCTTTAGAGATGCTGGTAGGCCGATTTTGTTATACAGTCTCCACCCAGTTCCAGTTTTTGTGCTATGCTAAACTAACCGGCTTCTGGCTGCAGCTTCATATTTAACAGACAGTTATGAGAGTCAAATCTTCTCACCCAATGTTTCACTTAAAAAAAAAAAGAAAATCGATGAAGCATCAGAAGTCACAAACTACTTACGGTTCAGCAGAGGCATGACCAGTTTCTCTCTTTAAATTTAGTCAGAAAGGAATTAGGCCTACTGTCGATTGTTTAGGTCATGGATGGATTATTAAACGGGTCTACCAGGCACAGCGGCCCAACTGGTCAGGCTGCCTCTAATCCAGAGCCTCTGCTTGAAGTGTTACTAACTTTTCTCGTCTTTTCTGTGTAGCTGCATGTTCTTACCCAAGTGATTATGGAGAAGAAAGAGAAGGCGATTGCAGCCCGGGCTGCATCTGCCCCCTGATTGAGTGGCAGCTCATCAGCCGTGGTCTGAGACCACTGATTGGCCAGGAAGCAGAAACTTACGAAGTATAGGAAGGTCCAGAAACCTGCCAGAAACCGGCGGAACAATGAGACACGTTGTTAAAACTGCAAGAAAGGTAATTTCCAAGTTGACTTTCTGCATGAAACAAAATGACCTGCAGCGGTTGAGTTCTCAGATCCCAGCCCGCTACAGCAGTTCTTTGTTCCCTTTCGAAATTAAAAATACTTTAATTTCTCCAATACTTTCTCCAATGTAAGTCTACAGGTTTCATTTCTCTTGATGTCTTGTGGTGCAAAACAGCAGAATTCTGAGAACTGAGCCTGGTTGGGCTACGTTTTTGGCATTTTGGGGAAACTCAGCCTTTTGAATCCTGCCAGTTGTGTCTTTACAGTAATACTCACTGAATGTGTAAGGTCCTGTCTCATTTTAAAAGATCATTCACATCACTGACACTGTCTCTTAGCAGTCTGACAAATCACAGGCTAACAATGAATGTCCAGAGTGCAAAACGAGGTGTCTTGCACTTCCTGACTCTTGGTAAGTTGTAAGAATTATGTAATAAAAAACTGGAAATAAAACACATTTCTGTCACCTCAGTCTACTTGTGTGTGAAAATATGACCAAACACGATTGCCTCCTCACCCGAGAAGCCGATCTCAAGCATGATAGCCTTCTTCCTGTCTTTGACGGAGCTGATGGAGGAGAACTTGTAGTCGAGCAGGAAAAAGAAGGAGCACGACAGCAGGCCCACCAGGCCCACGAACACACCGTAGTTGCACGCGTCTGCATTACGATTGAAGATGCAGTGGAGACGCTCGCTGCCCAGGTTGACATAACCCTCGTTCACGATGGAGGCAAAGACCACCAGCGAAAATATCTGTGGAGGGGGGCACGAGGAAGAGGAGAGGGATAGATGAAGAAAGTGAGAGACATGGAAGAGGATGTAAAATAAGGAGGAACACCAGAGCGAGTAACCAAAAAAACAAACAATAAACGTATCTCTTTAATCCTCCTACTGTCTCCCTCTCTTTAACAAACACTGTTGCAGGCTCACTGGAACCAGGATTGTGGCTGAACGTCTGTGAGCATGCTCAGAATAAAGGCATTAACCTAATTTCCTTTCTCTTTCTCTCTGACTGACTGAAGAGGTGGATGCTTCACTTCCCCTCAAGAATCATTTCGTCCCGAGGCAGTGTGTGCACCAAAAGAGGTTGTGTGATAAAGGTTGATACAGCTAATGCCATCACACTTTTTCCCCCTGTTAGTTCATCCCATTTTCATGAATAACACCCTTCTTTAGGTCTGATTTGTAATAGTGTGTATTTCTTTCTACCTCTGTTCTGGACTCACACACTGACACTGATCAGCTGACTAACACTTGATGGCAGAATAGGGTCATGTGACACACACACACGCAGAAAAGCACCCACACTTGGGTGTGGGTCATATGATGGCGGAGGGGCACACAATGGGATAATGTCAGGTCCTCCTTTGAAACTAATCACATGTGTGGCTATAATCTGTGCAGATACAACCTCAGGTGCTTTTAGTAGATCAGCATGAGAAAGCTACTTAAAAATAAAATAAAAATGCTACAGATATGATAAAGATATATTCAATGGGGAAATTCCACTATTGAATATCCTGATATTGTGTTATCAATCTGTTACTTATTTTTACTCTACCCCTACTTTCCCGCATATCTGCTTTACACTTTGATTTCCTTGTCACTTATTGCAGTCTGCTGTATGATCTAGAAATAGAGGAACATGCCCTTGTTCCAGCAGAGAAAGTGAGAGTAAGTCAAAAAGCAGCATGTGCTGTTTTTTTATTGAGGATACCCAGGATGGACAAGGTGGCACCTCTTCTTGTTCTGGAAATGGATTTCTGGTATCTCTTCTCATCTTTGTAGCAAGTGATTTAAAGTACATTTAGAAGTACTGTAGGCCTACTACTGTACTCTACTTGATTGTATTTCCATTTCATTTTTATGCTGCTTTATAGGCTACTTCTAACCCCAAGGATCACTGGTTTAACATTTATATAAAGTAGTTTTACACATTAGTAGGCCTCAATAATGGGCCATTTTTCTCCATAAAGTAGCCTACATATACTTTTGATAATATAAGTAGGCCTACATTTTGCTGATACTTTGTACTTTTACTTGAGTAAGATTTTGAATGCAGGACTTTTACTTGTAACTGAGTATTTTTACATTGTGGTATTGGTACTTTTACTTAAAGATCTGAGTGCCTCTTCCACCGCTGATTGCAGCTGCAGGCTGAATATCAAGATGTGATGTGGCACGATCTACATTTTGAAGATTTTTTAAGCTGCCATGGGAAAAATACACCCAAACAACTTAATGGGCAATTAAGCTTTAAAGCACATCATCCCAAATTGTTTAAAACATGCTTGCTGTTGGCTATCTGAACTGGAGCGTGAGTTCTTCCTTCATAATAGGCTCACACATATCCAGGCTCACTACAGTATAGCTTTTTTAACCTACACAACAAAAACTCAAACCATATCAGTATGTGTACAATAGGTCTAGATATAATTGCCTACACCCAAAGGTAGCCAGAGACTCATCAGGAATTATTTGCACACATTGCACAGTCCTGGAAAGATCCCTCCGCTGTGTGTTTCAGAGATCCCTGCACTGGCAAAAAAAGACCTTCTGTGTGTCACCCAAAGGTGATGCGTTACATCAAACGTCAGGGCACGTAATGATGATCGCGAACCAATCACGGGTGAGATAATAAACGACGACCGTTTAGGGTAAATCAGCAAAATCATTAGCTGAAAATATGAGTGGCGATTTAAACAAAGACGGTGTGCGTGGTAAATAGCACTGTTATATTTTAGAGAAGAAAATAATAGTCTGGTTGGCGTGAATAACAAGTAGGAGGAGGCTGAGGAACCAATAGGCTCTGTCTCTCTCCTTTTCTACACTGTCCGGGTCCACTGCACATCTCAGCTTGTAGCCTAGGCCTACTGATAAAGCAATTTTAAAAGAAGATTTGTAAAATGAGGATAGGTCGGTTTTTGCCAGAAAAAAAAACATCTGTAGTGAGATCAGTTTCATGGTCAGGGTGTCACACAACCACCAGGCCTTGGTTACACCCTGTACGGTACATTTCTATATCAGTACACTCATCTTATAAACCATTCCTTCCATGGTTGCCATTAACACACCCTGCTTATCAATTATCTCTGGATTTCTGGGGTCTATTTGCAGTGAGAACACGTCACGGGTCTCGCGCAGCAACGACAACAGAGAGGACCCCCCTACATAAACACACACACATACACACGCGAGCGCGCAAACAGCAGTCCCGGAAAAACCCGCTCTCACCCAGGACAGCACTCTGAGGATGGTCTGCGGCTGTTTGGCGAAGGCAATCGGGTCTATAGTGGTCCCGGCCCGGCCCGCTCCGAACGATCCGACTCCGTCCATCTTCTGTGTGTGTGTCTCTCTCTCTGTGCGCTCCTCGCGGGTCCACGCTCCCGGCTCCACGGCAGGATGGATGCGCTGCTGCTCTCTGCTGTAGTGAAGGGTCCTGCGCGCACCCAGAGGCGCGCGGGCACAGAGGAGGGCGCCGCGAGTGGCGGAGCGTGCGTGGCCGAAGTACCCCCGCTACAGGCTGAGGTGGGATAAGCCATTTAGACCAAATTTAATACTGTCATGCTAATATGGAATATTGTAGCCTGTACAGATATTAAAATGATAGGGGCTTATAGGCCCACAAGGGGAAATAAAACCAGGCAGGCCCCTAATGAGCAGACCTACCAACCAACAAACAAACAATGTTTGTGGTAGGCTACCATCATTTGTTGTGGCCTCCAGCAATTTAGTAGGCCTATCCTAGGCTACTTCCTTATAAATTGGGGAGCCACAAGATGCACATTACAAAAAGAATGGTCAAAATCAAAGCAGCACAGCTGAGATATCCTGACTTTCAAGCTCTAATAACAATGGTTCACTTCCATGCAAGTTGTCATCTTTGGTAAGCCCCTCCCTGACTAGTAGTCATCCACATGTTCCAAACTCTTCCCAAACTTCCAAATGCAGTCTTTCTGGTAAAAAAAAAAAAAAAAAAAGTCACTATGGCATCATCAGGGATTATTTATTATAAAAAAAAATATTTTTAAACTATTTTTATCTTGTTGAGGTCTCATAACTACACATAACAAATGCTAGGAATAATGTTAACGTTATGTGTTTCTGAAATAGAAACGAAAAAAAGAATATCGGCTGATATATCTGATGGTCGGATTTTAAAATCCTCAAATAGTGAAATCGGTATTGGTCTTAAAAATTCCACATCGGTCTAATAAGAATAATAAAGGTGTAAACTGTGCCACCTTAACAGGTGCATGGTCTCTGTGCCCTGAGACAAAGTCTAATCAAATTAAGTGAAAACGCCTGTGTGGGTACTAGGGGCCTATAAAATATAATGAAACTCCACTCAGAATTACACACTGAACACAACCTCATTGTCCAAAATGGCAGATACAGCCCTGGAGGTATTATAGAAGTTCAGTAAAAGCTGGACATCTAAATACTGGCCTCAAGGACTCTAGGTTACAAACAATACACTGAGCAAAAATGTGCCTGAATCGTTCATCAGCCACAAACATTACAAATGATAAAATACCACATGGAGAAAAGTCTCATGATGATGATGATGTTGCTTTGCCAAATACAACAGCACAGTATAGTCACATGCCGCTCATCATGGGATATGCGCCAATTACTGTAGACTCAGCAATGACCATTTAGCTGAATACTAAACTGTCTCAACATAAAATTATGAGCTTCACCACGCTCGTGCTGCAGATTACTGTGTTTTGGCCCACCACACTGGTTTTGGGCTTTATACTGTATAAATAAAATTAACTTGACTGTCAAATACATGCATCCTGAATACTGATACAATATTATTCTTATATCATAGATTAAGTACAGTTCTGCTTAACAGTGGATAAAGTCCACATACACACGCAGGCAGGAGATGAGATTATCCATAAGAGAACAGAGCTGATCCTTCACACTATCTGCTGCTCTGTAGGTATCATTATAATCGAAGTTGTCCTTTATATTGGTTTTGTAAAAACAGGAATAGTGTTGTGAAAATTGGAAACTAAAGCTGCTGTTTTACAATTTCATGCACACATGGCTCACACCACTAGAGGTCAGTGACATCTTCAAAATCCAATCATTTAACAGTAATGTTGACAAATGTAAAGGAGACAAACACAAGTATTAGAAAGGAAGTAATTCGAACATTGAGGATGAATACTGGTTGTTGATACATATAAACAAAAAGAGGATGAATGTAGATCATGATAGCGGTAAAACAAACAGTAGCATTGGAGCACTAGACTTGTGTGAGTGTGTCAGTGTGTCCTTTACTGGCTCCTTAAATAACAAATGAATGATCAGTGTTTATTATTAACTCACAGACTGATCAGGTGACATGACTGACGTTCACGACAAGGGCTTCACATGGTGTTAAAACTAACAGGTGTTTCATCCACTAACCTATTTTCTAAATTTGTGGATTGTTTGTCTTATAAAATGTCAAAAACAATGACAAATGCCCATTACATGTTACCAGAGTTCCCAAAGTGGTTAAAAAGAACCTACTGTGTCTGACCAACAGCCAAAATATTTACATGAAACAGAGAAACACAAGTAAATAACCGCCTTTTATGAGCTACAAAATACATGTATTTATACTTAATTTAATTACTTAAATGATCAATCAGTCATGGCTGTAATTAGAAAATGACATCATTACTAATTCAAGCACTATATTATGCAAATAAATTAACACATTCGGCAGATACGCCACCGTACAAACACAAAAACTGAGTGTGGTATTACAATGAAAAAACATTCTATAATCATCACTATGTAATTTATACATATATTTATCTGACATATTTAAAAGTGAAAGCTCCAATTAATCACTGATATAATGACATCTCTGTAATAAATATTTTTCACACATTTAAGAAAGTGATATCGATTGTTGTTGTGGTGGTAAATCTGGGTTGACATCAAAACCCCAACTTCAGTCAGGGCAGCATTTTAATAGCTAAATTTACTGCTTTAACAGGTAAATCTAATGTGTTTTGTATTCCACACAAGACTGAACGTAGAATGTCAATAAACATTTGTATCCTGAACTTTTAAAACTCCCCACATCAAGAAGTTCAGTGAAACTTTGCTTTGTTTCACTCTGAGGCCTGTCAAACAGAGAGGAATACTTGTGTGTTTTTTACATTTAATTTTATTACCAGATCAGTTATATTAACTAACCACAAAACGAGAAAAGACACTCTCTATGCGCAGTGTGTCACCACAATGTGAGCTCCACTTTGTGCTGTTTCCACTCAAAGAAAGTTTTGCACTGACAGGAAGGACGTTTTCTTCACACCTTAGTCACAGGAACCATCTTTCCATCCATCTTTCCACCTCTCGTCCACACGGGAGCAGTCGAACTCAGGCTTGCCCAGCCGCGCGTTGATGCCATTATGGAGCTGACAGAGCCACTGAGAAAGAGCATGGCGACTCCTGGTGTCCGGCTGATTGTTTTTTAATCTGTGAAGGGGGACAGGGTGAATTTAGAAATTGCCTGCTCTTTATCTTCAAATGTGAAAACCGCTGCATATCTGTTTGCTTGCTTGTGCTAAAACCAAAGACTCAAAGACAAAAGAGCTGTGGTCTGACCTGCCCCGGAGGTCTTCTGCACATTCATCGCAGGGGAAGAACTTGGAGAAAAGGTTGATGAACTGCCCCATCTCTTGCTGCTGGGTGGACGATGGATGGTCGGGGTAATATGCTGCCATAGTGTGCAGGAACGACCAGGTGTTACGCCCTAACTCTTCCCTGTCCAATGGACATTGTGGGTCTGGTTGTTGCTCCGACTCTGCAGCTCCATTCTCCTGGAGAATCATACGGACATGAGTATTCAAACACACTCCGAGCCACAAACTGCAGAGTCAATCAGACGTTAATTCAAAGCGAATAGACAGGAACGCCTGTTGCATTGAGTGATTTAAATGTTGATCTGTGGTTGTTTTAAGGATATACATGCACTGCTCATATCCTGTTCTACAGGCAAGTTTCTCACTAACGCCGGGAAAGACACACTGTCCCTTGGAGATCGGTATAAAATAACTATAAAGATTATACGCTTTAGACCAAATGTGGTGACATTTTATTCTGAAAAGTGGTTCCCAAGGGCCTTTGGTATTACAGGGTGAAACCAAATTCAACAACCATGGGTCATTGCGTCATGAAACAACAGACTTCCTGATAAAGCTCAACGGAGAACTAACCACTTGGCATTTGTTACAGAAAGATCTGTCGCCCAAATGGAAAGTTAAGCCAGAATTTGGTGCATTGACCGTTAAAAAAAGAAGTTCATAAACCATCGTCTTGTCAGGCCAAACTTTATGAAAGTACTGATCTCAGCATCCCTCCTTGGCTTCATGTCACCTGTACAGCAGCTGTCGTCTGTTTCCTCTGGACCTTCATCCACGACTTAAAGTCCGTGCAGGCCCTGCATGGCTTCTTTTTCACACCCCCTGTCTGCTCCTGCTCTCTACCAGAGCTGTCCTCTGCTGGTTTGCCGGCCACTGCGAACGGAAAGCCTTCAAACCCGGCTGATGGTCCCCCTGGTCCTGTGGGCGCAGCCATGTTCGCTATTAGCAAAGTTAATAACTCTGACTGACCTTTAACGTTAATATCGATACACTTCAGGAATGTCCGGCTGTTGAAAGGCAGCTACCTCCGACTCGGACACATTATAGCTTTTTAATATTTTACTCTACCGCGTGGACAATGTCATGGTTACACAACCCCCGGTTGATGTGAGCGGTAAAGATACATGGGATAACATCTCCTTGTTTCACCCGGACCGTCAGTGGGCACGGAACGTGTTCCGGTTTGTGATGTTAGTCACTTGTGCATGCCGCGGAGTGTACCATCTGTCAAAGTGTAAATTTCTACCATTTGACAGCATTTTATTTGTTGACATTGTCTGTGTTTTATGTGGATACTCATTCAAAGCTGCATGTGCTGTCTCACTGTGTTTCACGCGGATTGTCAACTGTTAAGTCCCCCTGGTTAGCCGGGTGGCTAACAAAGCTAACAACTGTGGAGTGACACGTTTCTTTTTTTATTTTCTCTCCCTGTCAGTGTAGCTGTAGCCCATCTGAACTGCCACTATGGGGATCTTGGAGAAAATCGCGGAAATAGAGCGAGAAATCGCTCGGACGCAGAAAAACAAAGGTGAGAGAGGACAGCAGCGGGGCTAACTGTACTGCTAACTAGGTGTGTGTGTGTGTGTTTACTCGTTAATATCTCAGAAATTGAAGTAGAGCTGCGGTTGTGCTGGTGTTACAGTTTTGTAGCAGCCTTTCTTAATTCCTCTCATACATTATTGTAGAGTAAGAACTTGTAATGCACTGAAGCCTTTAAAGTCACAGTAAGACTTCTTTTTGAGTCACATTTTTCCCGTTCATTCCCGCAGCCACTGAGTACCATCTTGGTTTGCTCAAGGCCAAGCTAGCCAAATACAGAGCCCAACTCCTGGAGCCCTCCAAGTCATCGGGGGCCAAAGGCGAGGGCTTTGATGTCATGAAATCAGGAGATGCTCGTGTTGCTCTCATCGGTTTCCCCTCTGTGGGTAAGGTATGTCAACAAGTTTTCTTAATCCTGTACTGTATCACAAATACATACAAATAACAAAATACCTGAGCCAAGTCTGCATTCTTCTCACTCTTCATGTGACTCATAATCTAAAGACTCAACATGCGCTGATCTAATTTAATCCTCTGTTGTGTCCTTCAGTCCACTTTCCTTAGTTTGATGACATCAACAGCCAGTGAAGCTGCTTCCTATGAGTTCACTACTCTCACCTGCATACCTGGTGTCATAGAGGTACACACATTCACACCACTGCAGATCCTAACACTTGCAGCTTTAAACTCTGTCATTTACACTTTGTTGCTCTTCAGTACAAAGGGGCAAACATCCAGTTGCTAGATCTGCCTGGAATCATCGAGGGTGCTGCCCAAGGTATGCTTAGGTTCATGTTTTTGTATTTTGTTTGCTTAATCCCAAAGTGAGTGACTTTGTAGATCTGTAGTACAGTATGTCTGTTTTGTTATTATAGTGTTATATCAGAATTATTAATGAGTGAATGATGACAAACTGCAAAATAAATAATAAGTGTATATTAAAATACCCTTGAGTGTCTGTTGATCTATGGGGGGCCTGTTTCAGAGTAAGGATTTTTCCAGTTTATAATTTAGATGCTGCCACTCACAATAATGAAAAAACAAAAAGATCAAGCTTGAAGCTTCATAGTGACAGCAACACACCGACTCTTTGACCTTTTTATAGGTAAGGGTAGAGGTCGGCAGGTCATTGCTGTTGCCAGGACAGCGGACGTCGTCATCATGATGTTGGATGCCACTAAAGGAGAGGTTCAGAGGTGTGTGACGCCCACTGTTTGAGTTTTAATAGTGGATTTAAGGGGCATACGAGTACTTTGATCAACTGATTTTACCACTGCCTTTTATTAAATCAAATTTAAGGCTTTTGGTTAATATTTTACACTGCACAGTAACTTTTACTGTCCTGTTTTATTCTCTTTCACTCTTTTTAAAAATTACATTTAAATGTCTTTTTTTATATTCCCCTGTGTTGCTTTTATGTAAAGCACTTTGAATTGCCTTGTTGTTGAAAGGTGCTATACAAATAAACTTGCCTTGCCTTGATTCTTGCCTTTAACGTCTTTAAAAATATATATATATATATATTTCCAGAGAACTTCTAGAAAAAGAGTTGGAGTCAGTGGGCATCAGACTCAACAGGACGAAACCAAATATTTATTTCAAGGTACATTTTCTGTTATCATCCTAAACTGACCATGAATATCAGCAGCCAATTGCAAAGAGATATGGCTCGTAGTTTTTGAGATATTGTCGCAAGTAAAATGTGGGTTGAGAAAAACTTTCGACCTGATGGTGGTAAATGATAACAATTAGGAAACAACCGCTGGCGGACTCTGTGTATATTAATACTAAATTACAATTAATTGCTTTCAAGGTACCTTGCTCTTGTTGTGTTGGATGGACAGACCCAACTGACACAACAAGAGTGGCATTATTGGGCCTTGCTGGTAGCGGGAGTAAAAAACATCCTTAGTATTATTTGCAAAACATCCACACTACCTTGTTAGCTCCAGAAATTATTACTCAAATTCTTTTACTACACTTGGTTAAAGAAGTGTGATTTGTCTCTCTCTGTAGCCCAAAAAAGGTGGCGGCCTCTCCTACAACTCCACTGTTCCTCTCACCCACTGCTCAGAGAAACTGGTTCAGCTCATCCTTCACGAGTACAGTATCCTTCACAGAAGGAAAACATGTTCCTGACTTCTCATTCGTCTTGTCATCTCCTTGTCATCTCCTTGTTAGCATGTCACACTAGCATTTGGTTGACTTCTTTAACGCCTTCTCCTCAGAAATCTTTAATGCAGAAGTCCTTTTCAGGGAGGACAGCACACCGGACGAGTTCATCGACGTCATTGTTGGGAACAGAGTTTACATGCCTTGCCTATATGTATGCCAGTACTTACCATCTGGATTGGCCCAAAGCCTTGTACCTCTAAAATTGGTTTGAAAGTCAAAAGATATTTTTCTGAAAGTTTATTGAAACTTTGTGAATTGAAAACAAGAAAAAAATCACAATATTTGGAGTTACGAGGCTTTGGCTAATCTCTCTAGCTGTGTCTAGATTAGATTGGAGTCTCTTTCTTCCCCTCATATCATTTGTGATATCAACAGGTGTACAATAAGGTGGATCAAATCTCCATCGAGGAGGTGGACCGCCTGGCTCGCAGACCTAACAGTGTTGTCATCAGGTCAGATACGTGTGTGTGAATAACAGTAGTCTTTGTTGGTAGCTGTCATCTTTACTCTTTTTATGTATGTATGTATGTGGGAGCTAAACGGCTTCCTCCTTTTTCTGTCCAAACGTGTATTTCAGTTGTGGGATGAAGTTGAACTTGGATTACCTCCTGGAGACGTTGTGGGAATACCTGGCTCTCATTTGCATTTATACTAAGAAAAGAGGAGGTACAACCACATTTTCCCTCATTCGCTCATTACACAAGAGATGCAGATGCACACAGATGCCCTTCGTCTAAAGTCACTTTGTATTAATTTCTTCTTTTTCCATTAGAGCGCCCAGACTTTAATGATGCGATCATTATGAGAAGAGCAGCAAGTGTAGAACATGTGGTAAATTACGCACATTAATTCACACATTTGCTTTTGATACAACATTTTTAGAACATTTGTACATAAATGATTAGGGATGCACTGAATGTTCGGCAACTGAAATTAATCAGCCGAAAATAGCAAAAAAAAGCACTTTAGTGTTCGGCCTAATAAGTCAAAAGACCGAAGAATTTTTACTGAACAATTACGTTGACACATCGGCAGCGTAGAAGCATTTTAAAGTGTCAAAAATCATCATGCAGACACTGTTCTGCTGAATTATCTCCCAGCACATCCACTCCATCTGTGGCTGACTTCTTAGAAAAGGCAACAGTCTGACCCGCTTTGAGTGTTTCTGTCACTCGTTTGTGAGAAGGCGATTTAGCTAACCGCACCTATATTTGGAGTGCACACGTATTCAAGCCTTTATGGTAAATCCACTGAAACGGCTCAGAGCGAGCTGACAGGCAGGTGAGCAACTTTATCCTGTCAACACTTGTCTTTACAAAGACAAGTGTTGCAGTATGAGAGTCCTACCTGAAGAGAGGCTATGAAGTCTTCATGTTACGCGATATGAGAACCACATAAAACATTATTTATCAAATTGGGTTGGACTTGATGAATTTAGCACAAAGATACACATGTGACAACGTCCAGTTTTCAAAATAAGGTGTCTATACTGTATGGAAATAAGATTAATTGGATTATATTCACAGAAAGTTGAAAACCTATTACATGTGTCCATTAAAAGTAAAGGCACACATGTAATTTACTTTACCGAACCCTCTTGGGCCTCGGACCAACCCACCATCTCCAAAACCTGTGGGAAACACTGAGTAAAAAGCACATTTTGACTATTCAATTTATTCAGTGGTTAAAAAAAAATAGTCAAAATAAATCGATAAGAATGTAAAAAAACCTTGTTTGGTATTCGGTTTTTAAGTTTTTCATTATATTTGGCTTCGGCCAAGAATTTTCATTTCGGTGCATCCCTATAAATGATCACACTACAGTAAGCAGACCTGCTGTATAAGCACTCTGTATGATATGTTTACAAATGTGCCCATTTTGCTTTCTACCCGCAGTGCCATCGAATCCACAGAACCTTAGCCAGCCAGTTCAAATATGCCCTGGTTTGGGTGAGTAAGTTTTCAGAGGCAATGACCCTCAGAAACTAAATTGTCTCTTGTCCTATAAATGGTTTGAACTAACTCTCCAATGTTGACCTACTGAGTAGGATAAACACAGACTGTTTGTAGATTTCATGTATGGGGGGGGCTTTAGACATTCAGTGACTGCTGTGCCTTTTTAATGGTGGCCTTTGTAACCTGTTTTGGACGTTCAGTATGTTCTTTTGTCCAGGAAAAAATATTATCAATTTATTTAGAAATACACAGCATCGTGTTCTTTTATCAGCAACGGTGGTTACTTGGTCATAATTCGTGCTGTAAAATTTGTATATGTCCATTAAGTAATTTAAAAGAAAGCAGTTGGACTTGTGAAAGAACATTAGAGCAGCCTTATGTGCTTTATGTTTTCTGCGACTGACTGTGACCCTTCTACAAATGATGAATACATTGTGGTATGGTGGTCATGTTTCTCCCAATATGAGCAGTTGTGTCTCCAGTCTGAGACGAGTAGTTAGTGGTGAGCAAATCAGATAAGAGGAAGTACATTGAAAGTTCAGCTAATTAGGACAGTCCCAGGATTCACCAGTGAACGTCTTTGCTCCCTTTTGAGTGTGCCAGTTGTACATCACTATAATTCTAGCCATCCTTCAAGTACGTAGTTGTTTCACTAGGAAAATTACTAAACAGTAAATCTGTGGGAAAACTTTTTTGTTTTTGTTGCTGTTCAAAGTCTGTTTGATATATAACCACTGGCTCATATCTTGTATTATTTTGTGTTTGTACAAAATCTTGGTACACAAATTCCTTTCACATAGGCAAAACAGTGAGCTGTCAACATTAGTGCAGAATGTATATTTGTTATTAAATGTAGTATAGAGCTGGCTAGTATGCACACAGTCTAAGCAATGTCATTGTGCTTCAGCTTCATTAAATGTCCATTATACTCAATTTACTTCCTAAATTAAATTCACCTTTTGCCATGATACATGAGAAGCAGATACAGAAGAAGAAGAACAAGAACAAATTTAATTCTCAGACTCTACGAACAAATGTAGGCATTGTTTCAGCTGTTCTGAGCTTTTTATATCTAACTCCAGGAAGATGTTCACTGCTTCAGAATCTTGTTGCTGGTCATCGATCAGTCATCTTTTTTATTCTGAAATCTAGTTCACTGTCTTAAGTGATTCACTACATTTGAAACACAAAGAAACAAAAAAGGAAGGGTCTGAACTGTATCGTCTTGCTCTTCCAGGGAACCAGCACCAAGTACAGCCCTCAAAGGGTCGGCCTAACGCATATCATGGAGCACGAGGACGTCATCCAGATCGTTAAGAAGTAAAACAAGCTCCTGATTGGACAGAGGAGAGACGGAGCAGGAGGAGTCAGGCTGCTGTTGGAGGAGTTATAATGGAAAAAGATTCACTGTACAGTACATATACAGCAATGAAAAATAGCAGCCTTTCTTATTTTGTATATGAAAATTAACAAAACGCATGGATGAGAGCAGATTTAAGTAGGTTGTGGACAGGAAATGGTTTGTTTTACCTTTTGATTAAGATGAGCAGGAGAAGGAATAAAGTCCATAAAATGTTAAATGAGCCCGTGTGTTTGTTTTATGTTTTATTTTGATCAGATGTTATGTATTAGCAGAATATTTAACTGCATCTCACCCAGATTAGATTCTGTCACATGCACACACCTCACCTATAAACCCTTTGCATGACGCTGCTGTTTGAGTAAAGTAATTATCACAAAATAATCAATAACTTCTGTACAAATTAAATTTATTGTGAAATTATTTAGACTCAATTGTTATGAAGTGTTATTTCATTTTTATTTCATATTAGAAACTATATATTATTTTATTGTACAATGTTATTTTTTCTCTTTATGCCATTTTATATTTCATAATGTGACTTTTCTTATTAGTGATTTCACCACCCTCTCAATGTCAAAGTAATTCTGAATTATAAAACTATCTACCTGTTGCCTTAAATAAACTGACACACAAAATAACATCTTTTATCCATTTAACATAAAACAGAAAAATTCAAATGTTTAAACCTGCAATAAGTAAGTTTATTGGTCATTTAGGGTCTACATGATGAATTTAAGTCCAAAATTCACACTCTTTTAGCTCTGTTTTGGTCCCCACCAGCTCCTGAGGGAAATAGCTGGCTCTGAAGTATCAGAATTAGAAAGAGCTTTATTGCCAAGTCGTTGGTTTTTTACACGTACCAGGAATTTGCTTTGGAGATAAGGTGCCACACGTAGACAAACATACAGTTGACATAAATACATTTAGAAATATATAAATATGGAATAAACAGATGCAAGTTATAAAAGAAGAATAAAATAATAGAATATATAATATAATAATACAACTGTGCAGAGAAAGAACAACATGGCAGATATTTACATGTGCATTACTCCAGATTTGTGTTGTGCAGATGTAATGCAGCGGAAGAGGAAATTGTATTTATGTAAATATATAAATTGAAAAAATATAGGAGAATAACAATTAACAAATATGTGCAAAAGCTGCTAAATCCTCCACGGTGTTCGCCTGTTAGCTGCTAACTCTTAACGTCTTTCTAACTTTTTGTTGCTATAGGCTATAATTGGTTTTTCAGAACTTGCTAAAATACAAAGAGTGGTGAGATGTAACCAAAACAGAAAGGTTGTCAGCCTAAAACAAAAACTGAAATGAGCTGAAAGATGCTAATGGCCAACTTCTCTGCGAGTTCATCACTACATGCGACCCTTATTGCATTACACATTTGATCCATTGTTATTATAAAGATGTTGATTATAGCCACAACTGCTGGACACAAGATGTCTCCTATTTAACTTAAAAAAGTACTTTCCCAGTGTACGTGCACTGTAGTTGTCAGAAAACAATGCTTACATGTATCGGTCTAAAACTCAGAGCACAGAGAAACTTTCCAACTTTGGTATCGCATACATCATTCTGTGAAGAACAAACATCCCAGCAAAACACATTTTTGAGTGGAGGAGGACTTTGATAAAGCTGCAAAACTCCCCTGTATGAATAGGAAATTTATCAACGCATAGACTGGAGGTAACATTGAGGTAACACCACCAAGTATTAATATCTGCACAGCTTGGCATGACTGTAAGACAGTGTAGATTTTTCACCTGTATCCCTACTCAGCTGTAAAGCAGGTAAGGCTTAGTCACCCCTGACCCCTCCCCGCTGCGTCCACCTCTGCTGCCCTGCTGTTTGTGTCACACTCTCCGCACTCCAAAGCAGGCTGACCAGAAAGTATAGACTCTGAGCCAATGCTTCCAGTTCACACAGACACACACACACACAAGCACAATAGCACCATTAAATATTTACAAGCATCTCTTTAGTCTAGGAGAGGGGGACTGAGTGGGAGGCTTTATGAGAGAGAGAGAAAGAGAGAGGGGCTCTGAGTTGACACTGCTGGCTTTAAAGATGCCTTAAAGATGTCTCGCCAGAATGAATTGTGGATGGAGAGATTCTGCTTTGGAATAACCTGAAGAGAAGAGGAAGGATAGAGGGATACTATTGTGGAGAAGAAGAAGAAACAAAGGTATGGTCGACTGGGTGTGCATTGTGTGGAGCAGGCATGACACTTGATGCTGCTTGGCTCCATATGGCATGGCTAAGTGTGAGTTTGTGTGTGTGTGGTGCCTGGCAGTACACATAAGCAAGAATTGGGTTTTTAATTAGAGTCCTCTTATAAGCCTTGCTTTTGTGTAATTTTGTGCCATCAGTATGTTGTTTAAAGCCATAATCTAAATTTTAGGGGCTGGTCGTAGCATGTCCAAGTTTGAGAAAAAGTAGTTTGCAGACTTGCTGCCCACCACCTAGCTCCTTTTAAACAGATTCATTGTGACCTGGCAGTTTTCTCAATGTAATCAATACTAACCCAACCAAGTGTTTTTTTTATTTGCCATAGACCTGCAGCTCTATGGCAAATTATTCGATAATTTCATTACTTCACTGACAGAAAAATACTTGGCAACTATTTAGATTATCAACTAATTGTTCAAGTACCTTTTCAAGCAAAAATGCAAAAAAAACAAAAATACAAATCTGTTTTCAGACTTTTCTCTGTTTCATATTAAATTGCCTATCTTTGAGTTTTGGACTGTTAGTTGGACAAAAGATACATTTGAAGATGTCATATTGGACTCTAGGAAACTGTGATCATCATTTTTTTAAATTAATTTCTGACATTCTACAGACCAGGGGTGACCCAGCTGTTTTGATTGTGGACCATAAAATATAAGAAGCCACTGTGAAATTCTGAAATATCTGGCTGTCTACTGCCTTTTCGGTCCCGCTATTTTAGTAGGTCAAGTAATTATTAAAATGGCAGCACCTCTAATGTTCAAACTAAGAAGTGCAATGCACATACAGGGCAACTTTTTAGAAATAACCTCAAGCAATATTGTAGTTTATTTTTAAAAAATTCGCAGTGGGCCATTTAAAATCGAGCAGGGGGCCACAGTTGGTCCGCATGCTGTTGTTTGGCCTTCCATGCTTTAGACCAAACAAATAATCCATCAATTGAGAAAATAATCAGAATTACTTGATAATGAACATTAAATTAAGGTTAATTGCAGTCCTATTTGACAACATTAGAGAGACTGAGCTGCTATGAGCTTCAGAGGCCAGAGGCAGTACTTCTATGAATCCTTTTCACAGCACAGTGTCTTACTTTACTGAAACCTAAGAGCTCCTCTCTCAGTGTTACAACAATAATTGTGTGATGTTGAACGTCATATCAGGTGGAAAGTCAATTCTACTAAAAGGTTACTTTTGTTAGATACAAAGCAATCCAAAAATGTGTGCAACCAAATGTGCAACCATGACATTACTTTATCTCTTTTTCCAACTGACTGAATATCACGTGACTTTTCCTTGGTGTAGTAATTGTGACTGGTATTAAATGAACCAATGAAGCAATGCCCCCATGACTCTTAACTGCTGCACACCACGGTTAATTAACTTAACAGCTCCTTTCCTCTTGTTTTAACAATGATTACTTATCAGATTTCATATTGTGATACAAATTGCACAAATTTGCTTCAGTTCCTCCTAGAAAACTGCGTTTTCGCTAATACTACCTTGCATCACTTTTTTGTTTTTGTAGAAAAGACAGTTACTGTTGATTTTCAGGAGACTGGACAGATTTGGACCAGAGGACAATGGTCACAGTGTACTGTTGTGTTTCTATTGTGCTTTCATCGATTCTCCAGTCGTACTTCTACAAAAATGTACCAGCAGTGCAAAATCCATAAAATATATTTACGCACATGAGTTATTTAACATTAAAAATACATATTAATTTTCAGCAGCCATCCAACAGCCAGCAAACAACTATAATCAACGAGTTATCACCTGCTGTATGCTGTTGTGGCCTCACTGAGATTTACTGTTGCATCCCAGGATCATATGTGATCGTTATATAGCACATATAGCACTTTTCTCGTGTTGAATTAATACATATAATTCTACATTTTCTGGATGGTAGAATAGAAACAATACCAACCATAGACGAACATCACCAGCAGTTGAGAGATGGATCAGTACCCTGTTTACTTGGTCTCTTCTGCCCTCTTCTGCTTCAGCCAGTTCATTACATGAAGCCGAGAATCAGGTTATTTCAGCATTTGGTCCATTCAGCAGTGAATAATTAAACATCAGAGGGAAACGTTTGACTTCTCTTCAACCAAGTATGGACTCACTGAGGGTAAATTAAAATTGCATGAGATTTCGTTAAATTTAGTGGACCACTCATGGTAAATAATGTCCAAGGAAGAATTTTGCAGATGACACACATGAGGTGACCAAGTTGAACATCCAAATAAACAAGTTTACAAGAGTGGAGGCTGTCTGCTTCATATTGAATGTTTTCTTCTCTGCACACCAAACTAAGAGTAGATTTTGTATTTAAAAAAGACTCTGTATGGAGCTTACTGTATATTGTATGAACAAACAGGGATAAAGAGTATATATTTACTTTAGTCTTTTAAATAAGACAAAGGCTAACAGACTTCATTTGCCTTTGTGTTAAGCTAATCTCTTTAGAGTAGTAGTTAGAATAGTCGGGCTGTTTTCTGTTCTTGTGTACTGATGTTTGTCTAGGCGATAAATTAGCCAATTGAGGCACATAAAGAAGGGTGGCTATACAGAGAAACATAACTTTAAATTTGTTCTTTTAAAGAGACATGTTGCATCAGTAGAAAGTAAACCGCCTTGCAAAGGCTCAGACAACATGTTGAAAAATTCAGGGGTTTTACATAGACCATGATTTGTTGCTACAAGTCATAGGACGTTCAGGTTTGAGATGCACACCAACACAAAGGAAGACGATTTGTTTATCATAAGAAATCAAGACAAAACCTGAAAAGTGATTCTATAAGCACACATTATATCATTAACATAATATTCTTTCATAGCTTGTCAACATGCAGTGTAAGGAATATGGTATTTGGTTCCTGTAAAGTAATTAAATTAGTCTGTTAAGCTGTGAGGTCCAGAGAAGTGCATGCTACTTCTAACTACTTCTGTTAAAGACTGAACTTTTATTGATTAACT